GGTTTTAGCTTGAATGTTCTTTGAAAATGGGTTAGTAACCATAAGAAATGTATTGTGGCAGCAAAGAAAAGCTTGACTGGAGAGGATTTAGTGACATGCAAGCCATCAAACACTTGGATGCATGATTGATTCCAAGTGAAAGAGAAAAGGCAAGCATGGTATTATGTTTTAAGGCCTACGGTTGGTAAAATTGCTAAGATAGTTAAATATATGCAAAGGTGCCAACCATGAAAAATAAATATAGGAAACAAAACTTACAATAATCCTTGCTCTGATATCAGTTGTTGGAGTTAGATCTCAATGGATTAATGCGATTGTGTAAAGCATGGATTTCAAAAATTTCTTCTATAAAGGAAGCAAGCAATCCAATTACACAAGCAGAAACACACATCATTATTATTGCAAGTAACAGAATCACATCCTAAAAAAAAAAAGAATCTATTAAGTAAGAAAAACCATACCTTTTATTTTGAGATTTTTATATTCAAACACCATCTCACTAATGAATGATTTCTCGACCAAACAAGTTTACCACTTGTTCTTCAAGAATACTTTCAATTTGAACCTTGAATGGATAAAGTGTGGAATGTCGAAAAAGTTTGGAGGAGGAAAAGAGAAGTGAAGGCTGAAATTTTTTCAATAAAAGTACGTTCTTTTATTTTCTTCCAATCTCTTCTCTTTTTATTAAAACTCTTACCTCAGAGGTTTAATCAAAATGAAATACCTTTGAATCAATCTTGACCATCCATTTAGAGTTATGGAAGCATCAAACATACTTCATAATTATCAAAATTAAAATTTAAGAATAAATAATTTAATTCTTTAATTATCATTTAGAATTCTTGATAAAATAAAACTCCTTATTGAATAATAACTCTTATTTCATTATTATCTATTTTATTTAAAAAATTAATAATAAATAAAAGAGTGATTGTCAAATATGGAATCTCCTTTTATCAATGTGGATGTCTAGATTCATTTTGCAAGAATCCTCCTAACATTATTTTAATTTAAAACAACTCTTGTCTTTAATTAAAAAAAATATTTTATTTTTCCTAAATTGAGACAAATATGTTTTCTTGTCTAGATTAAGACAAAAAATATTTTTCTTATCTTAATTAAGACAAACATATTTTTCTTATCTTAATTAAGATAAACATATTTTCTTGTCTAAATTAAGACAAATATATTAAAGCTGTCATTTTTGTACACAATTTAATTAATCAAATTAAAACATGCATTCCAATTTAAACAAGTTGAATTATGCAAAGCTAAGTAGTGAATCTATTTGGACATAGAAATTCTAAGCTCCAATAAACTTAGAATTATTCTTAATATCATTAAAAATAATTCAAGCTTATTAACCATGAAGTCACTCCACCATAGATTCATGTTTGCACTCATGGATTAATTTTAATTACAAGAAACAATTCAATACTTGATATTAATTATTAGTTTTCCAATTGTAAACCTTATACTGTGAACTTTCATAACCATAATAATTCAAGCTTATTAACCATGAAATCACTCCACCATAGATTCATGGTTGCACTCATGGATTAATTTTTATTACAAGAAACAATTCAATACTTGATATTAAGTATTAGTTTTCCAATTGTAAACCTTATACTGTGAACTTTCATAACCATCTAATGACAAAAGATAAAATTACCGTTTTACCTTTTATGTCAATTTTGTCCCCCAGTCTCAAATTTCATCCAATTAGTGATTTAATTCTCTAGATCTAATCTTTTAAGTATCCAAATGTGATGAGTAGCTAATTCATCAATCCACTGTGCCCAGATTAATCACCAATCTTCCTAAATCTACTAGAAGTGATGTTAATGCTATAAACTCTATTATCTGGATATATATTCTTAGATATTCATCTTGATTATTATCCCAAAATACCAAGTCTAGATCAATGCCTTATGATGATCATGCTCATGGGAAGTCAAAGATTATAAGGAGATTAAACGAGAGTCCACTATCCATCACGATTTCGATTATACTATAGGCAAATGCATAAGTGTGCGATCAAGATTTCGGTAATGGTAAAACTTAAATTTGATTCTCACATGATTCCAATTCATGTTAAAATTTCATTACTCAAAGTCAGCCATTTTAATGATTTAAGACTCATTATTCCCTTCAAATGAATCACATTTGTTTCATTGGAAGTAATCTGAACACTATAGCCTTAACACAATAAAGTGACTAGCTTTATTATATAGCTGTGAACAATTTTTAGATTCAATTAAAATACATGTCTCCTATGTATGACTCTTCATACAAATGTATTTTAATATTTCAATAGAATCACGGTACCTTAATAACTAGATAATGAATGCTTTCTAAAACAAACTCTTTGTCTTATTATCAAAATGCACTTTCATTACAAATAAATTTAATGAAATTAAGCATAAGAATATACTTGCTTTCCAAGGCACCATATTCTCAGAATTCCTACCACCTCCATACATATAGGCATGCTCTCAAGTAACTTGGTTCACATCAAAATTAGGGGCATTACTAAAAGGGGTTCAAATTATGTTAAGGTTATTATATGCAACGGAATATTATTAAAATTTTAATCCCTAAGCCATGGAGCACTTTAACTGAAACTAATCTAGAAAAATCACAAGAGAAAGATTTCGACATACCAGAAAGTTTGATGGCTGCTTTCTTTGGTGGAGTCTTCCTTAGCTTTTTGTTTTTGACTTTTATACACCAGCTAAGACTCATCAAACCATAACAGCACAATTATCCTACCTCTAATAGTGATCGACACAGTGATTTGTCGAAATCTCTTCACTAAGAGTGTGTGAATCCCTAAGCCAAAGTTTGTGCTAGCAAACTCTCAATTTTGAGCTCTTTTGTGTTTCTCTCTTTTTGGTTGTGATCCTTTTTTAACACATGAGAAAATCAAATAGGACTCTTCTATACATTCAAGAGGTGGCTAAAGGATTCTTTTATAGATTGAATTGACCTACTTCATATCCAACAAGGATTAGAAAATGTCTTGGGCTAATTGGGCCTTTGTTTAATACTCCATCATATTATATTTGATTTAGCCTAACACCTAATTTAAAATCAATTAGATCACATCTAATTGAACTTAAATTAATTTCGACAATTCATTTTATGTGTGTGACCCATTAGGTATTCAACATGTTAGTAATAAATACAAATTAATTTAACTAAGAATTTATATTTATAGATCTTGAGCGCTTCTAGCAAAGCATCATGACCACCCAAATGTCAAGGGAGTTAATATGGTTTGACTAACCTTTCAGTGTATAGTATCTCAGTGTAGTTCAATCCTTTCATCATATATTCTGGATAGATAGAATGCCTGGATTTATGTCTACTTTCTAACTTATTTATATTAGTTTTGTAGCTTTCATAATGACATATCAAGATTGTCTTGGCCAAGGACTTAGTCAATATAAGTTAGGAGCAAATGAGATATGACCCCTTCAAATCACTTGGGGTGATGAATCTTCTTAATACTACTCACTTATTTTTGCATGCTTCATGTCATACCCAAAAGTACCCTATTTAGGCATTTGGTCACCTCCAAACCCATAAAGGTGAAATCAAAGCATAATAATTCACATTCAAGATGACTTGGTATCACAAGTCTAAGGATTACTTACACTATTAACACATGAGAGTATTTCCATTGACACTTGAGTAAAATACCAAATGAAACTCTCATAACGACTCACGTTCAATGAACTTGTTCTTTAATAAGCACCCACATACTATCCCCATGTATCTCACATACTTCAACCTATGAGATTAATTGCTTACTTCCAAAGTAAGAACACTTAGCATGTACCAACCTTTGAGCATTATTAATATCCTTATTCTTGACAATACAATAACTAGGAACATATTTAGCAACAAAGCTTTGATGCATAAAAATCTCATAATTATAACATTTAAAATTTTTTTACGAGGCCATTGTGTTCCAAGAACTTTGTCTACATAGGTCTCTCATAACTTTTCATAAATAAGCTCATAGATAAAGAGATACCTCATATATTATATAAAATATCCATAATGTATTTAAATAAAATATGACTAATTAATGTAGTGTTTTATAAGTACAAAAACCGATTGACTTGTAGGGCTTATAGTAAAAATTACATTTTCTCTCCATATACTAACATTCAATCCAAATGAGCATGACATGTAACATCTCTGGGGATTTCAACAACTTCAAGCAACACTAAATGCCATTTAACAACAAAACCTTAAGCCGCATTCTCAAGCACTTTGACATTCAAATTACAAAACCAACTCAAAAACACAACAAAAAATTTATCATTCACTGACTTACTGTTTGTTTCGAACTTGTTTGCTATAACTGATTACTTTGCTCTGAACTTATTCGAACACTTTCTTATCTTTGAGAATGAATCAAATGATCATTTAATAAATCTATTGTGTAATATACCTAGCATTTAAGATTTACGTCAATGTCCAAAAAATCAAAAAAATCTTCTCATGCAACATGAAGAGGTTTTTAATGAAATGTTGTGTAGCAAATTGTTGGTAGGTTTATTTCCACAAACTTGCACATGACTAAGAGTACACATAAATTAAAAAATTTCATTAAAAGCATTTTTGTCTCAAAATCTTATCTCTTATTTAAAAATAGTTAAAATTATGCAAAGAATTTTTTTCAAAACAAAAAAATTTGTCCTAAGATAATTATACATAATATATAACATTCATATACTTGTTATATTGACATTAATATATAACATTAACGTTATGTAAATTAACATTCATGTTAAGTATATTACCTTTAAATATTCATATTTCTTATAATTATATAATTATAATAGTAACATTACATATTATTATATTTTATACCTTTAAATTATAATATAAAATATTCGAAAGTAATGAATTTAATCAAATTATAGTAATTAAATATTATGTTAATGTAAAAAAATATTTTTAGTTTCTACCCTGAGAACATGAGATTAAAGATAAAAATTATGTAACATATAACATAAAATGAATAAAGTTATATATTACACGTTTACTTGTTGACCTGTTTTAACAGCACATGCATGCGCATATGCAACTATATGTATGCACAAAGTTATTCCAAAAGATAACAAAAACTGTAAGCCAAAAAATAATGAACGAATATCAACTGCAGGACCCTCCGTTCAAGTTAAACTTGCCATGCTTAAGCATCAACACTTCTCTTGTCCGACAGGATCCTTCCAACTCCTCTGCCGATAGATTGGCCACTCTTACTGCCACTACCTCCAGATACTCTAGGAACAGACCGCTGCATGATCCGAATGGGAATTCCGCCCAAATCAAAGTCTTCCTTCAAAGACTTTGTTAGAAACTTCACATATGTATCTGAGAGCATGGTCTTCCCACTCAGAAAGGCAACAAAAGTAGGAGGCCTAGCTTTCACCTGGGTGAAGTACTTGATCTTGGTTTGAGCACCCTGGTCTTTCCAAGAATGCCTGCTCATAACCTGATCAACAAGAGAGACGGATGGAAACAGACAGATCGACAAAGTTCAATTACTAATTACACTTTCAGGGCTATAAGATATCAAAGTGAAGATATAGGCCACAGACCTTACGCAACCAACGGTTAAGACGAGCTGTGGACAACCTTAAACACCACTTATCATATGTATCAATAACTTGGCGCATAACAGCTGTACGTCCCCTGCCCTCAATTGCTGAAATGAATATAACCGGTATACCAGTCACCTGTAGGCAAGGCCATGACAATGTCAAATCATCCAATGGCACACATTATGATTTTGAATATTAACCACATTAACAAAAGGTGTTAAATGCATCTATAGAAGATCATCATAGAATGCTTCTATTCTAACTAGCTCCCTGTGACCTCACTTAACGCTCTTGTTTTTTTAACAACAGGTGACAAAAATCCTATACTGAACTGTCAAATGTACATATTCCTGTCCGCGCACTATTCTGCAGCAAATGTTTCTACAATGAACTCTGAAAATCTAAACAAGCATAACTTGTCAGATCGATCAATTGCAATAATAATGTCTTTCATGCTTCTGCCAAATGTTATAACAATTCAGACTTAATTCCCAGTCATAATTACCACACAAAACAAGCATTTAGCTTATTCATGCCATTAGAATCATTAATCATTACCACTACCCCATCACAGCAGAAGTCAAAGGGTTTACTGGCCAGGTTGACAATATATGCACATAACATAAACTTTTGCACAGATTTCATCATTATCGATACACTAAAGGACCTTCTAAAGTAAAAATACCTTTATTCACTTCCCTTAAAGAAATTAAAATATTTAAATGAACATAATTTACTCAATTTATTCCAAGGAGTAGACAACGAAAACAATTCTTTAATATTATCCAAATAAAAAATAAAGATTAAGAAGCTGACAAACCTGGGGCATAACCATCTGAATTTCTTGAGGAACAGCTTCCACAACCTTTTTATATAATGTAGAATTTCTTTTCCCCTTTAAAAGATCCATCTTGTTCACAATTACAACCAGACCACGACCTTCTTCCACTGCTCGTCTTGCTATAACTACTTCTGCATGTGTCATGCTACGCCTAGCTTTTGCAATCTGATCATCCCATGGGCATAGCAACCAGAAGTATTAGATGTATAGAATAGCTCTCCCCACTGTCATAATATTTAAAGTGCATGTGTTCCATACCATCAAAATTTTAAGCTACCATTATCACATAGATCTACTATTTTGTGTATATTCAGAATGGAGAGGAACAAAAAAAGAGAACAAAATAGCAAAAACAATTCTTAAATTATAGGAAATCTGCAGCACTCAATTCTCAAGATCTGACAATATCTCAACAGTCTATAAATAACATAGATATTTATAGACTGCTTACTAACAACTTCATAAGTAAAAAAGATTGTTATACATAATTAAATATCCTCAAATAGATATATAAAATTACAATTGAACTCATTATATTTACAACTAACAATATAAATCCATAATAATATAATTCTTGCATTTGCAACATTCCTCCCCTTCATCATCAAACCATTACAAGGTTCACAGATTGACCAAGGCAGGAGGTCCCAAAGACTACCCACTATTCCCCTTTATTTAAGCAGTCAGACAGCCTCCAACACAAAGAAAATCTACAGCTTGCAAATAATTAAGCACCCTTTCTCTCCATCATACCAGAAAAGATAGACCTCCCAAGACAAAATCATTTTAAAGATATGAGACAATCTAATGTATGACAAACCTCTTCAGCATCAAGAACCAAAGCAACTACATGAGCCCTCATCAGATTTTTTCTTGATTGCATAACACTCAATGAAGCTGGTCCTTTCTGCCGATCAGCTCTTTGCAACCAACCAGCAGTATCAACCTGAGAAATAAACCACAGCAAAATCAAACGATAAATGCTTGAATTAAAGATAGTTTCACCCAGAGACTTAGATCAAACAACTGCAAACAGAATTAAAGCAGATAGTATCAGTTAATCCTAAATCAAATAGGGCATAGTGGCTCATGTACTACAAAAAACAAGACCCATTAATCTGCCTTCTGGCAACTACTAAGAGGTTCATTCTCCACAAAGGGAAAGGGAGTTGGTCCACATGATATGGCATGAGATAGAAAATAAAAGAAAGGAAAATTTTGGGCCTAGAGGGGACTGTAAATTTTGGATTTGGAATGTTATTAAGATAACTGTAGGGAAACTGACCTTATGATAGCTTCCACAAGGACATTACTCAGGAGAGCTTCAATAATTTAGATAGTAAAATGAAACAACAGAAATGGAATCAAACATTGACTTTATGAGAGCTTTCATTTTTTTTTTTTACTTTCTGCAAAGAAAAGAAAAAACATCTTTTGGGATTGACAAGTTACAAACCAGTCCAAAAATATCAAGAGACCAGGTAGCTAAAATGTTAGATGCTTTCATTTTACAAAACTGTGCCCAACAGTCATGTGACCAGATAAAGAGTTAGAACAAGCAATTTATCTTGTACCAGATATACAGTTCTTCCTTGATATTGAAACTGTGCTCTCACTGAATCTCTAGTCAAACCAGCTTCAGGACCAACCAGAACACGATCTTCTTGTAACAATGTATTTAGTATCGTAGACTTCCCCACATTGGGTCGTCCTACAATAGCTAATTGTAGTGGCAGCTTAGACTCATCAACCTTACAGCAGTCACTGCTTGGCTTGAAGTTTTCATCTTGGCTACTGTTGTCTAGGACAAGCCAAAAGAAAACACAATGAGAAAGAGAAAGAACAGGGAGGGGAGAGAATGATGGCATAAATATTCAAATTACCAAGATTATAACTTGCACAGGTTGCAAAAGATTTTGAATTAATAGGCTACCTATTGGGTCTCCATATAAACCAAATGCACACACCTACACATGACTATTCTTATAAAGTCTTAAGATGCAAATCTTAGAACTGACTAAAGCCTTATCAAGAACAAGAAGTTTTCTGCACAATGCACATAATAACTATGAATTAAGGACAAGTATCAACAAAAATGGATGAGTTTTTGCAAAAAAACATCCATAAAAGTTTCTATTGTGCACACATTGCGGGAGGGTAACTTATTTACCAATTCTCTTTCTGAGTATGGTATTGACAAGCAAAGCATGCTTTCAGCATTGTGGTGATTAGTTTCTGGAACCACTCTATCTTCATGCATTATTTCCATGATATTTTGCCATGTCTTACTTTGGAAATTTTAATTATGGTTACATCTGTATTTCCTGGCGTGTATTTCCTGCCATGTATTTCCATGTGTGCGTTTTAATGCTCTTGAAAATTTTGCCATGTATTTCCTGCCGTGTGCGTTTTAATGCTCTTGAAATTTTAATTATGGTTACATCTGTATTTCCTGGCGTTGTACTCAGACATTATGGATGACTTTGCTGCTCACCTATAAGGGTGGCATTGCAACCCGATACTGTCTTATCAGTAATATTAAAATACCCACTTTGGCTGAGCAAAAATAAAAATATACATAAAAAGTTTCACAAAAGTGAAGATTCAAAAGCATTTTACATGAAAGAAAAAGAATTGCAGAACAAGAAATTTATTTAACAATATTGGTAACCCAATCTAGTTATGAATTAAGATCAAGCACATAAAAATATACTTGCAATGCAAAGAAAGAGAATAAAAATAAACTTCTTTCTAAAGCATTAATATATCCCCTTTTTAACCAATTCTAATCTGGAGCCACTCTATATGATTTCACAAAATTATTAGAAGTCTAATAAATAAGATTGAACCGCTTTGCACAACCTATGAAATAATTACCATCCCCCCTCAAATGAATATATTTTTGGGGACATCAGTTAATAATTCCAAAAAACTTATTGCTAGTGGTGAAACTTTTTTCTTTTGGAACATCAGCCAATAATTCCAAAAAACTTAGTGCTATCTTTAAATTCTATCAAAGACTAGATCTAGCCTCTGAGCCATTCGAATGATATCAACGACTAGATTTGGTCACCAGTGACTTAATCCAGTTAGCTTAATGCTCAATTATTATCATTTGCAACTTTCCCATTGTTGAAAACACCATGGCAAAACTGCCAGTAGATACTGTCTCCGTTCACACCTCGGACATATTGGGGTTTCAATAAATACACAAGGATAAAATGGTGAAAAAAGTGGCATCTCTATTCCTTCAAACCAGAATAGCCATCCTTAGGGGAACCCTAGAAAAATTATTCTAGGACTTTAGGGAATAAGTGGGGTATGGCTATTCCACATAATAGCCATTCCATAAACCAAAACCATGCATTACTATTCACCACAAATGAGCGGATTTGGCATTAGCAGGGGCTAGATATAGTCACCCGCAAGCTGATCTGGTGATTATTCATTAAAACCATCCATCATCAACATCTTTTAACTCTTTCAAAGACTAGATCTAGCCGCCAACAAGTCACTTGAATGCTGTCAGCAGCCAGATTTGGCCACCAGGCAAATTGATCTGGTCAGCCTAATGATCAATTATTACCACTTGTAACTCTCATTGCCAAAAACGACATCGCAAAATTTCCAGTAGATCATGTCCCCCATCACACCTCATGCATATTGGGATTTCAATAAATACAAAACGGTAAAATGGTGAAAAAATAGCATCTCTATTACATAAAACCAGAATAGCCATTCTTTGGGGTGAACCTAGAAAAACTATTCCAAGACTTTAGGGAATAAGGGGGGTATGGCTGTTCCACATAATAGCCATTCCATGAACCAAACCCATGCATTACTATTCACTAAGTGAAAAGGGGAAATGGAATAGTCATTCCCCACAACCAAACATGGCATAAATATCTCCTTGTTGACTTCAAATTCACAACTAATATAACGCCAAGCTTGTTTTTACAATCATTATCATTTTGCTATAATTTCATTACCACTTAATGAGTCTATGTTGAACATTTATTCATTGTGTCATATTTGACATAGACACTTGCTCATAGAGTTTCATCACATGATCATCAGCCTTTTCAAGAAACAATTTGCAGTTAAAAAAAATACTCCTTTTATTTTATCAGATAATACTACAATGCCTAAATAAGCTCTCTCCACAATAGCATAGAATAAGTATAACACAATCTTTCTATAATGTCTCTAAAATTATTCAAAAAACAAGTATACTAGCATGCTGCAACTTAAGCAATGGTGTAGCTCGAAAAATTTTCAATTGTGTCATAAACCAACTCACTTTTTATAAACAAAATTCTTTTATTCATTGTATTATTAAAGAAATATTTACGTTGAATCCAAAAGATACAATATACAAACAAAAATGATTATATTATCTCATTACTTAAGAAAAATTACTACAATGAGATATTATAATGCAGCACGGAAGTGGAAACAGTGAAAAAAAAATCCAAAACAGAAAAAGAAAATCAAAACAAAGGTTAAACTTTTAAAATCAAAGTAGATACAAGATAATTAGGGTTTAGGGTTATAGAACTTCTGACAAAAGATAATCCAAAATAATGTGGCTGCCTAATGTTTCTAAAGGACTATTTATACTGAGAGCAGCTTTCAATCCTAGCCCTTGGATACACACAAACCCCATCTAATCCTAGTCATTCAAACTCATTAAGGGATCACATGTTAGTCACACAACCACTTAATAAAATAAAAAAGTAATTACTAGCTAATAACTATGTTAAACAGTAAATAAAGGAAATATATCAAGATAAATAATTGGATAAATTCTAGAATGCTCCTGCTCAAGCTCCTCGAGTTGACAAAAGGCCTCCTCATTAATGAGAAGTTTGGTAGCTTTAGCATAGATTTCTGCATTAATCCTTTTTAGTTCACCATTTACAATCCAAGTACTCTCATTAGCTATCTTACTCGTATCCTCCATAATACAGTTGAAGCAAAGATCACATGAGTACTGAACTTTTAGTTCTTCAAAACCAGAAACTTGATTGCTCAATTATTATTTCCACTAGCCTCCCATCTTGACTAAAAACATCTTCAATTTCAACAAGTGCCTCTGTCATCAAATAACTTCTCAAAATTTGGTAGTAATAGAACCAGTCTCTGTCATCAAAACTCAATCTGTTCGATAGCTCTTTGTGCAGAATTTTGACACTTAAAGCTGTCCCTCTTCCAGCATTCAGTGATACAGCTCATAATGGAACTGAAATTCCATGTGTACCTTTTATAGAAGGAAGCTAACTCATCAAAACGTTGAACTTCTTTTTGATTGGTTTTGGTGTTGGCCATGCTCTAATGGCATACACCTTCTGCCAATCCGGTTTAAATCTATCTGCCTAAGACAATAAATCACAAAAACAGAATCTCATAACACAAGAAAGAGCACTCAGTCAATTTGAATGATTGTATTTGTAGCAATAGAGAGATGAAATAGCATCACTAACTATCCATTGAACCCATCCGGTGTCTTGTGGGTTGTTTTTCTCTTTCATCCAAACTCTTGGTAAGCAAATGTTTAACCTGTTTTTGCATCCCAGCTTACTCCATGGAGGCATTCTATAAAACTAGCATATTAGGTAATAAATCACCCAAACCAAATCAATAGCATGTTGGTCACTACTTATTGGTGTTAAAACAGATGGCAATTCCTCATTAAACACATCTTTAAGTTCTTCTAACAACTGCCAAACTTCAAAAGGATGCTTTGGTATTTCACCTACAAGTAATCTTGCACAAACTGGCTAACTAAAACATAAACAATTGGACTTCCTCTACTCTCTGATTCAAAAATCCCCATTGACACTGACTCTCCTTGAATTGGATAAACATCAACTTCCTCATTGTCTTTATCATATACATCACAAAGGGGTTGTGATTCCTCATCTTCATTCTAATCATCATCATATACCGGTTGCAATTCCTCCTCTCCGCCCTCTTCACATTATGCCTTTAAAGTATCAATAGCAGAACTGCATTGTACTAAGTAAGTTGCTACTTTCTTCCCTTGGAAGTCATCAACCTTTATCATAATTCCACACACATTCAAGGCTAGAGCATGTAATAACTGCTCTTCCAATTCACCATGGACAGCAAGAATTGCTTGTCCAACATCATAAAAAGGGTTTTCATCCTCTCCACATTCAATTTCATCCTCAAGACACCCTCCAATAAATCCAAAGAGTCTACGTTGCATTCTAGACTCTCCATATAGGGTCCCATTGATTCCAGTCACTGTAAATCTTGCACAGCCCATGACAAATCTTCAATCATACTCCTCAACTCAGCCAATTCTAGTTGTTGGGCTTGATTTCCTCCTCCTCATCCTCTACCATTATCAGCCATGGTTTATATGTGAAAACCCTAGTTCTTTAGGATCTGTTCACCTTGATACCACTTTGATATAGTGCAAAAGGTAGAAACAATAAAAGGAAAAACAAAAACAGTGAAAGCCAACCAGAACGAAGGCTAAAATTAATGTAAAATTGAAGTAGGCACAAGATAACTAGGGTTTACAATTGTAGAGCCTCTCATAGAAAATAATCCAAAATAATACAACTGCCTAATGTGTCTAAAGAACTATTTATACTATGGTTACAGCAGTTTTTACTCCTAGCCCTTGGATACACATAATCCCTAATCATAGCCATTCAAACTCATTAAGAGATCACATGCTAGTCACATGATTACTGATTATTGTTAGTCAAAATGCCACTTATCATTCTATGCTATGCGGCACTGATTTGACATGCTGACATATCATAATGGATGATGACATTACATGTTGATTTGGCATGATGACAAAGGCATATAACCTTTTTCACCATCCACGTCAGCACCAGGTCAGCACCACATGGGCATAAAATGATAAGTGGTATTTTGACTGATAGCAATCAGTCAACTATTAATCATGAGGGCCTATTTGATTCAAAATAAGAAAATAAAGACTTGATTGAACGGAATAAAAGAATAAGGACTCATTTGAATTTTTCTGAATAGTTAAAGGGCTTTTTCTAGCATTATGCCAAATAAAAGCATGCTTGCTACCTAATAACTATAGTAAAATAGTAAATACAAACGAAAACATATCAAGATAAACAATTAGATAAATTTTAGAATGCTTTTGCATCATATTATCTTGTGCCTACAATATACTCATCCTTGAATTTCAATGAGTTAAGTTGGGTTTCATTTGGTTATTACTTTCGTTATTTACATTTTGCTTCTTAAAGTGTTAAATACACGGGTAAAAATAAATTTTGAAAAAGTAAAATATATATATGTTGATCTTTGTGAACACAACCTCATACTTGTACTTTATAGAGAACAACTATATTTAAATGTATGACACATTGCACATTTTAATTAAATGCTTTTTAACGTATGGCCATATCGATAATACATATATAAAGACTTTTTAGACTGAAAGCTACATATTGCTCATTTTCATTAAAAATGGACGAAACATCAACCTATTTGACACCTTCTCTTTAGGTTTTTATTTAAATTTTAGTGGGCTCGATATACTACAAATTTTACTAAACACACACACACTTACTTTTTCTAGAGTTCAGTGAGGTCAATTGACCCCACTCAAGTATATTTAGCTATGCCCCTAAACTGGAGTGCCTTCAAAACAATTGTACAAAATATCAAGGCTATGATCCACTTATTCCTAGAAGTCTGCCATAGTTAACATGAGAAAATACATATACTGTAGCCATGGAGAAGCTACATCTATATGCACTCAACAGTATGCTTGGATGTGAAATCTAACCTAAGTTTAACAAATCTCAAATACTAGTTACAGCACAAGAACAGCTACCTTGATCATGCACGACTAAGTGTTTAGCAATAACATTAGTGCTTACCATCTAAAACTCTGACCATATAATCCTCAAGCATTGGCCGAAGAGCTTCATAAAGTGCCACCATACCCAGCCCAGTCTCAGCAGATATAGCAATGGGTTCACCAAATCCTAATATCTGGGCTTCCATGGCACCTTCAGCAAAAGAGTCTGTATCATAATGAAGTGATTCAGATTTATTCATCGCAACTATAGGATTGACTCCTGGTGCATGCCTGCGCAACCACTTTCCAACCTCCTTATCCAAGGGATGTAGTCCAGTTCTAGACTCAAGAAAGTGGCAAGAAATAAATTAGAGTTTGCACACAGGGCAGAAAAAAGGAACCCAGAAAACAGTGGCCCAAGACTGTTTTCACCAGAATGATACAGAGACGATAGAAGTGCACAGCAGCTTGGTTTTCTATTGAAACATGTCAAGGAAATTGATGTGATATGATATAATGAGTCCTGTCAAATTTAAATATAAATATTACAAAACTTTCTTAAATATTAAAATTAATTAAGTTGATTTACAATATTACACTAAATAAAATGTGGTTAAATAAGGGAAGAAAGATGCAGTATCTAAATTCATAAGCATCCAATTGACTTAAATCTCTATTTCCATAAATCCAGAAGTTTATCCTGCATGCATGGACACATTTTACATTTTGTTTTTTCATTTTTCTACCTTCATACATAAAGAAATTATATTTCTTCATTTTTTTACTTCTGTTTTTTTCACAGAATCACAATTGTCTTGAATTATTCAAATAAATTAACGGAACAAAAATTATTGCAACGATGAAGACTGCAAACTCTTGTTTCCAAAGTTCTCTCTTGGTTTTTAAAATAAAATAAAATAAAAGTTCTCTCCTGGTTTGTAAACAAAAAACTATAGATTTTGTTTTCCTCTTCTCTTTTCGATTAAAAAGTTATGAAAATGAGGATTATGTGCTAAACTACTAAAAAAGAATCTTTTTTGAGAAAACTTTTGGACTGAAATTTGTGTATGAGTTGTTTGCGTGTGCATGCGTGTGTGAGAGAGAAAGAGAGAGAATAGAAAAATTAAAAAATTGTACACAAAACAATGATATATCACATCACTTATGATTAAGTTAAAAATCAAATGGGAGACGTTATCAACTGAGAACCAGAAACAAATTTTGCCCAGCCAAATCATTAATGCTGATTTTCCTCTTCACAAGACAAGAGGAGCCAGACAAATATTCCCCTTCAAATTCCTGACAGTAACATAAAATTGGCAAGAAAAATGTCCTATGATGCAGTCATTTTCATTAAAAATCTCCATATATGGATGCTATGCCGAAAGTTAACAAGTTTACCTATTATTCACCCAACATCAAATGTGATTTACGCGTCTCCTCTGCATGTTAAAACCCGTTAAATTCCCCAGTTTTAAAGCTTTCAAATTCATTCCATAGTTTTGCTCCCATTGCACCCTACATTATGCATATGTTGTGTGTTTTGCTAGTTGCATCAATTCAATTTAGAGAATTTTAACTCTCTCAAATTTATGTTTTTAACTCTAGGCTATATAAATGAAGCATGAAGTTATTTTACAAATCCCATATTAGTCACATTCATTGTAGGAGAATAAGGACTCAACATATTATAATTTCTTTGGATACATCATGAGAAAATACTTAATTCATGTACAAGAAGGTGATCAACATTGAAAAACTGACCTGACATCAATTAGGAAAATTGCAAATTGAGATCTAGTTAGCACATTTGCAGTCATGCCAGCTGTTCTACTAAGAATAGATCCCGAAGAGGCTTCAGTTTCCAAGCCAGCAGAATCCAACACCCTAAACCGAAGATCCCCCAATTTAGCAAGCCCTTCTCTTATGTCTCTAGTGACATGATCATCAGGTGTGTTGTACACAAGGGCCTCTCTCCTCCTAATCAAACTAAACAATATTTGACCGCAAATAAATAAAACTGACAGTAGGGAATATAGGATTTGCCTGTGGTGCATTCAAAAAGGACATGAAATTGAGAGGGGAGCTTACTAACCGGTTAAACAAGGCAGACTTCCCTACATTGGGGCGACCAACGATCATGACAGTGGGAAGCAGATTGATGTCAATTTTGGTGAAATCAATATGTTTTTTGGCGACAAAAGTAGCCTCTTTTGTATTCTTGGAATGAAGTTGCGATTTCTCCAACTTGGCACACGCGTCATCCCCGGAGACAGAGAGCGTGCAAAATCTCATAGTGGCTTGAATCGAACTCCTAAAGCTGTTACGCAGATGAGCAATTCCATAACTCTTGAAAAGGATAGCATCAACAAATGTTCCTGAGAAAGACAGTCAATGACTGAAGAAATCAATGAACAGAATAATCTATCTAGAAAAATAAAAACAAAACCTGACTGACCGAAAGTTGAAACGATGGGGTAAGCAGAACTGGTGGTGCCCCTGTAAGTGGCGGTCCTACGCAGCTGAGTGAAAACCAAATGCCGCCTCTTTTGGGCACAAAGGTAATGAGACATATCACTCGATGATTTTCTTTTTCTTATTTTAAATTTCAGCAAGTCATCACTAAGCAGAGAGTGCTTTGTATTGGTGATACGCAGATTTTGAAGAGTGGGAAAGAGGGAAGCAGACAAGCAGCACTAAAGCAGAGTAGCGGTGAGCCGGCGAGGGAGAGAATATACAAAGGCTTAGAGCTTTTGGTGGAGATAGATGCGAAATCCTTCCAGAAGTGGGCTCTCTCGGCGCCCGACCTGGACAAAGAATCACCCCGTAGTGCCTGTACGTTCGAGTATGCTCGGATTGAGGCGAAAGGAGGGACGGGGTGGTAAAGGGGGAGACATGTATCGAAGTTTTTATATAAAATAAGAAAAAGGAAAACTAAAACAAAACATTAAAAAATAAATAAATGAAAAATATATATTGAGTTTCTTAAAAATGGAAGGGAGATTTTTTTCGTTGCCTTTAAAAATAAAGTATTTTTAGAAATAAGCCTTCACATAATTTTAACTGTTTTTAACCATCTTAATAGATTTTAAGATAAAAATATCCTTAATGAGATAATTTCGTTAACGCATACCATCAAACACGTAAAAATAAAAAAATAAATAGATAAATATGTAAATAATTTACAAACATCTAATTTTGTGCAAAACATCTATTTTTTTTTTTAGCAAAGTTTGTGCAAAGCAAAATAATGTTGCGTGAGAAGGTTTTTCAGATATTTCGAACATGATATTCATATAATACGAAAAAAGAGATATTAAACCGATCAAGGAATCGGTCTTGATGAATCGAAAGCTTCGAGAATGATGTGCAACCAGAAATTCATGATACGGTGGTTAATCGAAAGGAGAAAGATGTGAATTCAAAGCACGAAATCGTCGTGCTACAACAAGCCATATGTGAGACAGCTGTGGCACGGTAAGGTTTAGAGTTTGTGACACGAGTCAGAGGGAATATATGAGATGACATTGTGAGAATATGTGACACACCAGAGAATGTGGCATGAAACGTCATGGTGGGGATGTGTGACAGGGCTATGACACAGTAGGGTTTAAAGTTTGTGACACGCCATTGAGGGAATATGTGAGACAGTAGAGTGAGAATATGTGACACGAGTCGGAGGGAAAATGTGATACGACACGGTGATAGAATGTGGCAAGCTAGAGTGAGCATACATGACACGGCTGTCACAAGGCAGGGTTCAAAATTTGCCACATGCCATGGAGGGAATCTGTGACACGCCAGAGTTCAGAGTTTGTGACATGCCATGGAGGGAATCTGTCACACGTCAGAGTTCAGAGTTTGACACGCCATGGAGGGAATCTGTGACATGCTAGTGATAAGAGTTTGTGACACGCCATTAAGGGAATTTGTGACACACTAGGGTTCAGAGTTTGTGACACGCCATGGAGGGAATCTGTGATACATCATGGAGGGAATCTGTGACACGCCAGAGTTCAAAGTGTGTTAGATGGCATGGCTTGAACATGTGACATGACATGGTTTGAAAATGGAAGAAAAAAAACAAGCAAATAACGAGGAACCCGATTGGATTTCCATTAAATGCATGCAATGAATAAATGAACATTATAAGGCCATTTCATTTTAAATTAAATATTTTTCAGAATTCGTAAACGTCTGTGTGAAAGGTTCTCAAAGAGTTTGATTCATTCTTCATTCCCAAAGGTACCAAGAGTCAGACTTCATTCTTTGCAAGCTTAACGAGATGAGACCAACAATGTCGGTTATCAGTGAAGAGGTTAGTCAGTTTTAAATTAAAACTTTCTTCTATTCTTTAATTTTTTGTTGGGTTTGTTTGATATGTTCGTGATTTTACCTTTTTAGAATCATTATGTTTAGTTTAAACTATTTTCTTCCTTGTTTTATGGTTGTACCAAAGCTTTGAAAGGGATTCGCGTCTGCATATCATGTAACATGAAGTACAACATTTGATGTGGCGTGTAATGGGTTGGCTGGTTTTTTTGGTTTTTATCGTGTCACAACATTGGTAAGGCAATTCGTGTAACGAGTCAATAGTTCCACTGATTGGTGTTTCAGACACCATGGTTGGTATTTCACTACATTTTGTAATTTAGTGATTGGCGTGTCAGCATTGGCGTGTAACAACATTTGACTTGATATGCATGGCATGAAACAACATTTGACTTTTATGCATGGCATGTAACAACATTTGACTTGGTATGCATGGTGTGTAACAACATTTGGCTTGATATGCATGGCGTGTAACAACATTTGACTTGTTATGCATTACGTGCTATAATATTTTAGGGTATATGTATGGCATGTAACAACATTTTACTTGATATGCATTACATGTAATAACATTTTACTTGATATGCATGGCACGTAACAACATTTATCTTGATATGCACGACGTGTAACAACATTTATTTCTTTCTTCAGTATACCTTGTTGCACATTATGGGTTAACTCACTCGTGCATGTGTGCCATGTTTTTCAGATGCAGTCCAAACAGTATGAGGATCTTGACAGTAGCCTTATTGTGCCAAGGGAGAAGTGAGCATTCAATGTCTCTATTAACACTCATTGTAAGTGGTCACAACTGCATTACATCAACAAGACTCCCCAAGAGAAAAGGGAGTATGATGCAATCAAGCGAACGTGCTTCGAAATGCTACTAGACGTATATCCGCAAGGTTACTTTTGCGTTGGACTCCTGCATAACATCATGATTCGTCAAATCAGTGAGAGAGATTCAATGGAGCATGAGCTATGGTTTGCCATTGGCAAGAGCAAGGCACGTATATCAAAGTAGGAGTTCTGCCTTATCACCGGACTAAAGTTCAATCGAATGCTCGATGTGTTCAGCCAATCGTACGAGTTTGATGCAGACGGAATTCATGTGAGATACTGGAACGAGTAGGAGAGTGTTAAGTTGCAATGGTTGCTTCAAACGTTCCGCGATGGCAACTGTCAACGACTAAGAGACACGACCAAGATGGCACTCATCTTGATCGCGAATAACATTTTATTTGGTCAAGACTACCGTAGATGGGTGACGCCTTTGTTGTTCTCATTGGTGGAGGACATCGATGCTTGGAATGTCTTCCCATGGGGTCACTATGTTTGGAGGCTGACTTGGATTACCTTTTGAAGGGGTTCGAAGTCCCTACCTTAAACTTACAGAAGGATACTCGTTTACAGTACAACATTTATGTATTTGTGTGGGTGATTCAGGTACTGTCACCAAACATTTAACGTTTTCCTTTTGACATAATAATATGGTTGCACTCGTTTAGCATTTACAGTTTGATAATGGTTACATTTGACATGCAATGCTGGGCAATGGAGGTAATCCCGACCTTACGACAAATTATTGCCCCATCTACTCCGAAGGACAACATCTACCCACATATGTGTAAGTGGTAGTGCAATCAGAAGTCAAAAGACTTCTACAAATCTGTTCAGAAGTTGGAGTCATTTGAGCATGTGAGTGAATAGCTACTAATTTTTGTTGTGAATTTGTAGAATAATTTTTTGTAAAATTTAATCACAAGCTGTATTTTTCAATTTTGAGCCATCGAGACCTTGGAGCCAACCCCGAAAGAGGCCACATAGGACTATTTTGTTAACATCGATGTCCCGTTATCTAAGGGCCACCAATACTTGCCAATCAGGTAGTTGAAGGATCGGACGGATTGGGGCTTAGGTGCAAAGGAAAAGAGGAGGAACTTGAGGCAAAAAAAGGCCACTGGTGCCATGAAGTGGAGGCGCATCGCCACTGCTAGAGTTGACGAGCTATCAGGCATCGAGTTGATGGAGGAAGGGGACGACCGTGGAAACTGCTGTGAACAGCCGGTAAAGATGGTTGTAATGGTTTTTGTTCGACAATTTGATATGTGATTATCGACTGACCCTTTGTGTTCACAGTTGGACGATGCGACGATAGCTCCACAACCATTGAGAGGTCTTCCTCATATGCATAGTGCTAACGAGCCATTGGTAAAATTGGTTCTAACAGTTTGGTTTCACCATTTTCATATGTGTTTATCAAGTAACAGAGTTATTTCTATTATTGCAATTGATAGAGGCGACGATAGTTCCTGAACGACCAATCGGTATAGCTGAACTGCACAGTGCGAATGAGCCGCCGATAAGGAAATTAAAATTGTAATGGTTAATGTTCAACAATTGTTGTTGAATAACACAGTAATAACAATATACGGTCTTGCAGTTGACCCATGCGACAAGGGGCAATGATGGAGTAGTCACGATATGTCAGCTATGACGGGTCATGCGCAGGCATGAAAAAGAGATGTTGGAGCTGAAGGCTTCAATTCAGTCATTGACTCTTGCAATGCAAACGATGGAGGACTGTATCATTCGTCATATTCTAAACGGCCTAAAATCACAAGTACGTTATTCTATCTTTGCTCATATATTGGTGGTTTACTTTCAACAGGTGTAGTCCAATATTTTATTATCTATTTATGGTTTATGGTATTTTTGGAGCTAACGGATTTTCCTATTTGTCTCATTTTGTAGGGAGGTGCTTCATCGCACGCCGATGGTGACGATCACGATGGTGCTAATGATCAGCAACATGATGAACCTGATGTTCACATGCACCATGATGTTATTACTGATGACAGCGAGAATGTTGATGTTGATGGAGAGAATGTTGTTGCGGTCGATTCGGATATCAATGCATCATTGGGAGGCGAGGGGGACCATCACTCAGTTGAGGCTGAAGGGGACCATATTCCTAAAGTCGATGCTGCAGTCGAGGCCACAGTCGAAAGGGATGGGAACCTTGCATTAGTTGAGGCTGAAGGGGACCATCTTCATCCGATGACTCCTGGAGGCAGCGCCTCACGAGTGTCGTCACTAGAGGTGTCTAATGGCAATCATTGGGTAGCACTGATTTCAGACCCAACTGAACGAACACAGGTGAAAATGGCCAGCAAATACA